GTCTTTTTGAAACAGGGTCTCCCTGTAGCCCCAGCTGACCTGGAACTCATTATGTTGACCTGGCTGGCCTTGAACTCACAGAGATCCACCTGTCTCTGCCTTCGGAGTGCTGGGACTAAAGGTGGATGCCACCACACCTGGCCCCTCTCCATATTTTTACCTCTGTACATAAACTAAGCATGAGGATTTCATGAGTAAAGCAAAGAATGGCAAACTATGCAAATCATGGCTCCAATACCCTCATAAATAAGTTGTTCTGAAACAAACCAATCTTCATACATCATTGCCTTCTTCAACAGAAGATACCATACATGTTTCTGTCATTATTGAGGGCATTTTTTTTCTGTGCAACAGTTATACAAGTCTGACAACACCTTGGCAGCAACAGCGCAAGGGTTAGAGGAGGTTGAGACCCAGCAATTCACACCTGTATCAATTCTCCTAATTACTCTATTACTCCATACAGTTGGAAGACAGTAACTTGTTAGAACTACTGGTCCTAAAACGGCTCAAAACAAAGGTCTCGGAAGTCTGCCTACAAGCCAAGTGTTTGAGCTTTGTGATACAGAGACCTTTCCAGGAAAACCGACGTGTTTCATCTAGCTAGAGTCTTTCTTTTAATTGACTTATTATTTTTATTTTATGTGTATGAGAGTATTGCCTGCATGTGCCTAAGTGCACCCGTGTCGTGCAATGCGCCCGGCGGTCAGAAGAGAACTTCAGATTCCTCAGGATCTCGCGTTTTGGATGGTTGTTAGCCACCATGTGCGTGCTGGGAATCAAACCCTGGTCCTCTGCAAGAGCAGCCATTGCTCTTAACAGCTGAGCCATCTCTCCAGCCCCATAGGTGGTCTTTGATTGCATGACGCCCTAAACTGGGATGCCTTACCACTTCTCGGCCCTTCTAAACCCCAGGCAGGGTTTACGACTCAAGTCCTTCAACAGCACACCCTAGTCATGGCTTTCTCCAAAGGCAGGAGTAATAGGAAATTTAATGAGTGAATAGTATGGGCTGCTATTTTCTACTCTCTGTTCAAATCGAATCGGGACAGTAGGAAGTCTATTTAGTGCCTATCAAGAGCAGAGTGGACGTTAACTATTACAAGACTCGGATGAGAAACCAGACCAAATCAAATTTTGAGATGACATGTTGGGCCAGAAGGACCTACCCCACAGGGCTTAAGACCTCCTGACAGGTACAAGGAGGGTGGGGTGGGACAGAACGCCAACCTCAAACACAAGCCCAGCTTGCCTCAGTCCTCGCTTCCACCTCCGCGACCAGCCTCGACCCAAGGACCTGGCATTGCCTTTGCCCTCTGACTTAGGGGCAGAAACTCACCAGTTTCATATCGGACTTCGGGTTGTTGGGTACCAGTCTCTTTACACCTCATGCCAGGGAAGCGTCTTCCGGTTCTATCTTCGCCTTCGGAGCATCGCGGGACTTGGAGTCTTGCTCCTCACGCCCCTTCCGGAGCATAATGGGAAATGTAGTTTTCTGCAGGCATCATGGGACTTGTGGGCGTCTTTCTTTTTCCTCCCTTTCCTCTTTAACACTTCCTTCCGTCAGCTCAAATTAATCCCCACCGCCAATTCATCCTCCCTCTGTACTCCAGCATGATATCATGTCTCCATTACGAGCCGCGTACCCATGGCATTCTGGGATATGTAGTCCCTACGGCTCTAGCACTCGGTCCCCTCCTCCCTGGGGGTGGGGAGGGAGAGGATGGGCGCAGTGCCTGCTGGGAGTTGTAGTTCCCTGGGGCCCTCTAGTCACTGAGCCCTTGACTTTTCCTCTAGGGAGCGGGAAACTACAACTCCCAGGGACGCCCGGCGGCAGCAGGTGGGAGCGGGGCTGTTGCTATCAATATGGCGGTTGTCAGCCAGACAAAGACAGTCAGTCTGATGTGATTGAGACAAGGGAGGTTTTCAGGGGGAGACTGGGAAATAGAGGCCTCCCCTCCCCCTTCTGCTCTTCCTGCGCCGGCCCCAAGCCCTCCCCAGCCCCTCCCGACGGGCGCCCCGCGCGGAAGATCTCCTCCCCCTCGCGCCTCCCTCCTCCCTACCTCAGCCCTTGCGCTGGGACGCTGGGGAGGGGGCTGTGGGCGCAAAGAACTCTGCCGGGATTCCGAGGTGAGTGGAGCGGTGTGCGCGCCGGAGCGCCTCAAGTCTCTTTCCTCACTTCTTCCTTTCACTTTGAGAAGAAAAAAGATCGGGAGGGGGTTCTGGGGAGAGAAAGTGAGTGGGAGTACCGACGGGTCCGTGGAGCGGCGGCGGGGAGCAGAGGGAGGAAGCAGGGGACCGTGCGGGGAGCCCTGGACGCGGGCTGTGGGGTGGGGCAGGTCGCGGGGGGGCCCGGGCGGAGGCTGCCCCTCAACTCCGCTCGGGTCCCTTCCGCGGTGGGCGGAAGGTTTGAGTTCCGGAGGTGGGGGTCTTCCTGCCCGGGAGCCGGGTTCGGGGCTCGGGATGTCTGGCTGTGTGTCTGGACTGTGACGTGGACTTGGGTGCTGGGCTCCTCTGCAAGGCATGTGTGTAGATGGCAAGTTAGAGTCGGGATCGGCGGTCGCGGGGCCTGGCCGCTTAGCGCCGTGAGTCCAGGGCTGGACTTTTGGGGCGGAGACGGGGTGCGGGGTTGGGGGCTCTGCCACTGGTCAGCGCGCCCGAGGTCCCCTCCCCCGGAGCGGTCTCCACCCCAAACTCCGGCCGGAGGACTGCACGGAGGATGCACCGTGCAGATGCAGCTTTACTTCCCTGGGTCTGTGCATAAAGGTGGGAAAGGAAAAGTGTCTCTTGATATTTGCTTCCGGAACTGTGTTTTGGTGACACTCTTGGGGCTACTTTGAAAGCAGTCCTCCGCCCACCTTCACCCCGAGACAGTAGGTAGAGGAACGTGTCATCTTCGTGCACAGGGGAGTGCCGGTTAGTTAACATTCGGGGGCTTGCGGCGGGCGGGTGGGAGCCGAAGAGCTCAATTGCACATGCACGGGTGTCTCCAAGAGACAGGATGTCTGCTGTGCGTCCTGAGACTTATTTTCGTAGTACGGAAAACTGTTGGAAATTATTTGCCGGCAAGAGGGTTGGCGGTGCGCGGTTAGGCGCTGTTTGTATGTTTCTTCTACCCCACCCTGTTCTGTCTCACATTTGATGAAAGCTGATGTGGAAGAGTGAGGAAGCCTTGGGTGAGGGGGGAAGAATGCACTTGGCAGTATGTAAAGTTGAATGATAAAAGTGATTGCTGTTTTTATTTAGTAAAAAGCTCAAAAAAATACAACATGTGTCTTATAGGGTACGGTAATGCGTTCATTTTTGGGGAGCCTGCAGGTAGAGAAAGCTTTGCTTTCTCCTTTCATATCTTCCTTCCTTTCCTCTCTCCCTCCCCCTTCCTTCCTTCCTTCCTTCCTTCCTTGCTTCCTTCCTTCCTTCCTCCCTCCCTCCCTCCCTCCTCTTTCCCTCCCTTCCTTGGCATAGTACATTTCTCTTCCTGATGGTCACGATACCTCTTGTACCTTTTTATTTAGTTTGTGCTAATATTGTTGTGCTTTTTGTGGTTTTACTATAAAATGCAGCATTAAGCCAAAAGGACATGCATTTTTTTCTATTTATTCCACAGGTAATTATCACATTAGGCTTCCAGTGCTTTGCATTAAACTTACTCAAATGGTACAACTAAGTTGATAGATCTGGTTGAATAATAAGTCAAATTTAGAAAATTTGATTTTATTTTTCAGTGCTCAAATAGTGATGAAATGAGACCTCTTGTTTCTTACATTATACCAGGAGAATTTAACATCAAATATTTTGTTTCCTAAATCCAAAATAGAACTTGGTCAGTCACTCTTCTGCCACAGTTTTGTAGTATCATGGTCTTTTAAGTAACCAAAGGAATAATTGGCGTAATTTCTATTTAGACTTGGGAATTTAATGTACTTGCATTTTTGGTCCAAAATTTATCAGTTCTTGAATGTCTCCCCTATCAGTAAGGGGCTTTTAAAGTCCATAAAACTGAAGGTTAAATCGCTGCACTATGGAATTTTGTGGTAGGTTTTCTAGCTTTGGTTTGAAGTTTCTGCTGTTGCTCATTCACACAGATAAGGGGACTGCACGCAGGAGTACCATTATATGTTTAAATTGACCTGAATGGAAAAGACTTCGTGTCTTCTAAATCTTGAATTTAGAGCTCAGAATGTGTTGTTTTCCAGCCCAGAGCCTTTAGGTTGTTGGAGACCAGAATTTCCAGAATTGTTTAAAGGTTTATCTTAACCTGAAACATTAATTTATAAAAACTAGAGGAAAATTCTGTATAACGACGTAATAGTTATGTCTGTGTTTTTCTGAAATGTATTGTAATAGTCGTGGAATTTAAAATGCTTAACAGTCATTTTAGACATAAGAAACCGAACGTCCAGACCTAGAGAAATGAGCGCTTTCTCTCCTCAAATTTCTTTGTTTTCATCATTGGAAATGCAAAGTTATTTATTGGGAAAAACGTTCATTAACTTTTTCTGACTAGTAGTCTGGGAAAAATTGTTACGTGCTTGCCAAATATATTCTTTGCTTTTATTGGACTGGTTCTGTTAAATTCTGAGCACCAGGGCATTAAAATGATGTAAAGCCTTAACTGCAGGTTAAAGCATAACATATTCTCCGCATGTAGAAGTCATATAGTTTACAAAAGAAGAAGAAAATCAGGGCACTGGTGCCTGTCCAGCTTAAAAATTCCACCCCATAACTGTAAAGATACATTTATTTTAATGTGATCACTTCTGAAAATGTTGCCTGTTTTACGGGAAGTTGAAAATCCAAATTGCTTTTAACCAATCTGTTGCTAGTTCTGTGTATTGTGGGTACTGAACACAGTCACAAATGGATATCAAGGAAAGGGGCTGTTTAGCACTATGTTGAGGGGCTTCTGTGAGGCTCTGTTTTCACTGTTGGGCACATTTGTCTTTAGTTACAGCATTAGTAATAAAAACAATGCAGTGTTGCTGAATTACAACATCCCTTGCAACTAATATCTCATTATTCCGGCAATTTTATAGTAAGTGTTGACTGGAATTGCATTATTTGTTTCATTGTACATACGTGCATATATATATATTCATTTTAATTTCTTATTTTTTGAGTCCCCTTTGTGTTATTTTAGGGACCGCTTCAGTTTTAATGTCCACTTAGCTACCATGTTTCCATCAAAATCATGTTTGCTTTTTCTGTTCATCTTATTGCAGCTTTTACCATCTTTAAACTTGAGCTATTGCTTTTTGGAATTACAAATTTATCCTAGAATGTTATTTTTCATAAGTGGGAGTTGGCATATTACTCAACTTTTTAAAATGGTGAACATTTATAGATAAATGTAAAAGTGCTCAGTGAAAATGGACTAGGTTTTGTTTGTTCGTTTTCTGTTCCTGCTTAATGTGGATTTTTGGGCTCCCAGAATCTTTTCTGTTCTTTGGCTAGATTTTCCTTTTAACTGCTGTTTGTTTTCTTATTCTCATTTTAGTAGAACTTTATTTAAAAATTGTTATGAATAGAAAGCTTAGCTTATCTAGAATGTTGGGTGTGTCTGTATATACACTCACACATATACAAAGCACTCTTATGTGTGTGCAAACACATACATACACATTAAATACCCATGCACATATGACATACATCCATGACAACCAGTCAGACCCACAAATACCAGAGACCTACTAGTAGCCACCAATCCATGCTGTCCACATCATAGAAACTTTGGAGGCCGCCTTATCATCATAAACCATTATTGTAACAGATTCTGCCAAACTATAGTTCTCTCAAGACGGGAGCTGTCAGTTTGAAATTTTTCTCAAGATAGTATTAATATGTGACTTAGCTCGTAGGCTCAGTTATACCCAAGATGGCCTTTATTAGACTGAGAATCCAACTATCATAGGAATAAAGATTTTCCGCAGTGATTATTTGGGGTGAAAGTTTTAGTTGAGCACTAGATTATAGATTATGTTATAGCAACAACATCATGGGTTTAAAAAAAATTGTGGCCAGGCGTGGTGGTACATGCTTGTAGTCCCAGCACTTGGGAGGTAGAGGCAGGTGGATGTCTGTGAGTTCAAGGCCAGCCTCATCTGCATAGCAAGTTCCAGAGAAACTTTGTCTCAAAAAGACCAAAAAGAAGAAAAAGAAAAAAAATTGTGAACAAAAGATAAAGATAGCAATTTAAATGATTTACAAAGCAGTGGTTTAGCTTTGCTGTGGTGGGGTATTGTAATTTTTTTTTAACTCTTAAGACAGGCAGCACCTGACACTTTCCATTTAAGTGATAAGCTGATTCTAATCCACTCAGAGACTGTAGATTTTTGTTAGATTATGATGAAAATATTTAGTGGATGGGGGGCTGGAGGAATGGCTCAGTGGTTAAGAACACTCACTGGTTGTTATTGCAGAAGACGCAGGTTCAAATCCCAGCACCCACATGTCAGCTAACAACTATCTGAAACTCCAGTTCTAGGGGATCCAACAGCCTCTTCTGTCCTCCGCCAGCATTGCACGACATGGGTGCGCTTACCTATACACAGGCAATACATGCATACACATTAAATAAAAAAATAAAAAATAGCACCAGGCGTGGTGGTGCACGCCTTTAATCCCTGCACTTGGGAGGCAGAGGCAGGTGGATCTCTGTGAGTTCAAGGCCAGCCTGTATATATATATATATATATATAATATATATAAAGTATATATATTTATATATATATGCATGCACCACTGTGCCTGGTGGATTTAATGGAGCTGGAGAGATGGCTCAGCAGTTAAGAGCACCTGGGTTCGATTCCCAGGACCCACATGGTGGCTACGAACTGTCCTTAACTCCAGTTCCAGGGGAATCCAAAGCCCTCTTCTGACCTCCACGGCATTGCACGACACGGGTGCACTCACATACATGCACTCATACACGTAAAATAAAAATAATGAATAAAATATTTTCAGTGGATGTACTTGTAGATCTTTTGTTCCGTGGCCTGTATGTGGTGTATTCAAGACATTGAGTATCTTTCATCACCATGTGTAGTGTATGTTGAACAAGCAGAGTAGTTGCCAGCCAATTTTAATAGTCATGTTCTTTTTGTGCACACACATATTTATTTCATGCATGTGTGTGTGTGCACGCACATGTGGAGGTCAGAGAACAACTTCCAGGAGCTGGTTCTCTATCTT